CGTTCTTAAACGTGGAATAAGTCGGCGTCCATCGGTACTGGATTCAATGGGTCACAGGCGGGTTTACGGGGGGGGAGGGGCTTTCGGGCTGAAGCCCCCCCCCCCTCCAAATGGTAAAATATAACCATATTTTATAGGAAAAAATATTAAAAACTGTCTCTTAAACTATTGTTGTTCGTGTAATTACATTTAATAGGACTTCAGGAATCACTAAAACACCATGTCATATGGGTAGTTAGTTTTTTTCTTTTTTTTCAAATTAATTATCGTTATTAAAAAAAAATCCTTCGGGCTGAAGCCACCCCCAAAATTAAATCCTGGATCCGCTAGTGCAATGGGTTAATGGAATGCATCAATATAATTAGCGCTGAGTTTAGGAACTTGCAGTTTATTACGAGTTCAACGCTCCTGTTCAAACGCTCAAAAAATACCTACCTACTGAATTTTTGAATTTTAAAATAAAATTATATGTAGGTAGGAACTGAACATAAATATGGAAATTAAATTGAGAAACAACTATAGTGAGGTTATATCCAGTGGATCTACCAAAAGCTGATGGAACTGCTGCATCGATGAATTTAGTAACGGTAATTTAGGTACTTGCACTTTCTGTAAATGATAAGATCACGTAAATTCAAACAATGGACAGCGAATTTCTCGTCAACATTCAAGACACTAACATATATTCTTATTTTATTTTATTTATTTTGCTATTTTGTATAAAATATAAATCTATATAATAAAGGTGCATTTAGACATTTCACAAATTATGGAAAACAGAATTATCTCTCTTCATTAACACCGACATTATTGGTAAACTAAACTATTTATTTCATTCCTCTTATTAATGACAGATGGAAAACATTAAAAAGTAAGATACAAAACACTAACATAGAGAAAAAACCCATTTATATTTTTGTTTTCCTATAGTCTATGAAATGTCCAAAGGCATCTTAAGATATAATAAGAAAAGATGCAAATAACTGAAAATCTTTATTAGTACTAATAAATGTGTCAGAATAATTTAACTTACAAAGACCTAAAAACATTGAAAAACTTAATTGAGTGTTTATTTTTAAAGTTATATTTATATCCTAAGTATTATTTAGATATTTTTTGTCCGAAAGTCGTCTGATGACGTTTCAATATGGAACCTTCGTATATTTTTAGACGTGACTTTGAGTTAGCATTGTGAGTGCGTTGTTTTGTATATGGCTTTTACAATTGAATTCAAAATAGTCAAGTGAACAAATATAGTTTTATTTCTTATATTTACAGTTGACTGCCTTCACAGCTAAAAGAAAATGCCTCAGGGATTTAGGAAAGGGAAAGCCAAAGTATTAGGACCTGGCAACCAAAAGAAAACTGATAAAAATAAAGGGCCTAATCCCAAAATACAATCCAGAAAAAGTAAGTAGTTTATTTTAATATAATTATTATAATTCATACATTGTTTATTTAGTTGTGAATTGTAAATGTAACTAATTCACCTTCAGATTTATAAATAGAATGCTGGGGTCAATTTCTAACCTATTTCAACTAACATGTGCTTATGATGGCTATATTAATAATTAATTTAAACTTAAGCAGGATTTTATGTGATAAAACAACAACAAAATGTTTACAATTTGTTCTGTTATCTTTGATTACATTTATTTTAATACTATTACTCAATTTCTAAGTTTGCTCACTACAATAAAGTTTATTTGATTTTGTTCTAGCCGATATATTAATCTCTTTCTTCCTGCTTTACTTCGGCTGTTAAATCATGTTTTTTACTTGTAACTAAATAGAGGTTTAACTTCTGTTAAATTCTGCAAAACTTAACGTAATACCTGTCTATCGGCTGATGTTATATGATTTTACTTACTTAAATTAACTATTGATAATCAACTAAAGAACAAACTCGCTAATTCATATTTTGCTGTTCCAAACATCTTAATGCACTGAGCCTAAGAAAGGATGGGTGTAAAGTTATATAAAGAAGAGATGTAGAGCGACAAAGAATAATTTTGATGAAAAAGTGCTCCCTGTCTAGTCGAGTTTGTGTGAGTTTTCCTAGTTCATACACACGTTGATTTACACATTCACTCAGTTATTGTCTGATGATCCAGTATTTATTTTTAAAAATAAAATTACAGTAAAACATGAGGTAGTGTCATACATTGCCAATATAGTAGCAGCAAATCCTTCATCTACAATTATTTTGTGGAAGTTTCTCAAAAAGTCATAATAAAAATTATTTTAGGCCTACAAATTCAATATTTTTTAGTTAAGTACGACTGTTTATCCCATAATTAAAATTATACGTATTTATTGAATTTTAATATTTATTGTGTAGTTTTCTTGAAAATCATCCTGCAGAAATTATTTTATATTTCTGAGATTAGATTAATGTTAACAAATAATCCTTTGAAAATGTAGTTATTTATATAAATATTCTGAGAAGGCAAATAGGTAGTTATTAGTTAAGAAAATATTCAAAAACCAAATTCGAGATACATATTTTGGTTTGTTGTTGTGTTCAATATCAATGTGGGTTTATGATCTCCGCTTTGCATTTACTTATTTAACCAAATATTGAAAAATAATTTTGTATTCCATTATGTTATTTAACAACTTTGATGAACAACTTCTGTTAATGCTTACATCAATTGGCCAACTGTTTCTTAGAAGATTTTGTTTTGCTATCATCCAGAAATAATCTAAATATATCATAAATGTTATACTGTTGTTTATAAATCATAATGTGCCTACGTCTCTGTTTAAGCTTTTAAAATTATTTATTTAATGCTTTCAAATTTATTGTTCTGAATAATTAATCTTTTATTTGTCTATAAGCATTACTTAATATAACATGGCTATTCATGATACCAGTGCTAAGTATTTTAAATCTGTTAACGTCGAGAAACTTATTAAGATTAGTTTGTTCAATATGACCTCTAACACGCTAGATTTTAAGATGGCCTAGAGTCTGTTAAAGTTAGTGTTAATTTCGTTAATGTGTGATGAAGGGTAAGGTATTCGTATTCTCTTTACTAATTTTGTTTTAAGTGGGATGGAATGTAAGAATAGATGTGAAAGAAATCTGGAAAACATTGAACTAAAGAGGATAATAAAACATTCATATAGTTAAGGGAAAACCTAATAAAAGTTCAAATTTCCTTATAAATTTATGCTTTTCATACTTTATTTTTTAAATAGTATTCTAATATAAGAAAAATTAGTCCTTAAATATTAAATTCAACAAATTAAGTAGTCAAAAGAGGTTTGGTTTTTACTTACTATAGCAAATAACACTTCCGCAGAATAGTACGAGGGGTTGTTCATTCAAAGTTCATAGTAATTATTTAGTACTATAACAGTGTATACTTCTAATATTACTAATTCAATGTCTTAAGTGGACTGGGGGACATATGAATCCAATCTTATACCAACCTAATCGATCTCTAAACAATGAAAGGCTCTATTGAGAGAAAAAAAATGAAAAGCTGCAAGATATAGTTGATTTATAAATTAAAATTATTGGATAGTTTTGGATCCTTTTCGTATAATTTTATAATTTCTGAATCATGCGATTAATTCTTGCAATATACTTATTATTTCTGTTTTGTTTGTTTACAGATCGTCCCATCGAGCCTAAAAAAGCAAAACATGAAGAGGTGCAGAGATTAAAGAAAATTATAACCAAAAATGTGAATAAAGCCATCGAAGAACAAGTTAGAGGAATAGCAACCGATCAAAAAGTTCACCTTTCAAAGAAAAAAGAGAAAAATATTAATGCTGACATGAATAAAATGCCTCCAAAACAAACTTGATATTTATGATTTATTTATTGTTAAATACAATGCAAACAAAAATTTGTTTTTACATGTATATGTTTATGTAAATATATATGTTATGTTATTTATTTTACTTTACTTTTTTTTTTATTTATCTCCCATTATGAGACTGAGTAGGAAATAAAAATAATAAGAATCAAAGAAATCAATGTGGTTCTTGCATGAGAAAAAAAAAAAGTGTAATATATGTGGTACAATCAAATTTAAGAGATAAAAAATGTATATAAGGTTGAGATTGCTCTTTTTAAATAATAAAAAGATTCATATTTAGCTAAAAACTAGAAAAGACTGTCAAGCATTTGTAGTAGGGACTGGAAGTGTGGCCCGAGTCCCATTGTATGGTAATACCTATGTGCCTATGAGCTCTACTTTGTAAACATCCATTAATAAAAGCTAATAAAATTCACTTAAACTCAATATTTTTATTCGGAGACAGAATGGTTAAAGGAAAACAGAAAAGGTATTGCTTGGATAGATAGTCCACGGTGCAGAACACTTTTTATCAAATAAGATGTTAATAGATTCATCTTATGACCTATAACATTTATCTACAAAAATGCTCAGAATTTGTTTTCCTTCAAATTAATTAATTTAATGATCTACTAAAAACTCAATACTCAATACTTTTCACTTGAATTTAAAATAATTTTGAAATGAAATTTATTATTTTATTATTCTGGGACTAATGTCCCTTTAGAACAAATTATAAATGTAGAATATAAATAAACATATTAGTGTGTCCAAGAAATAAAGACATTTCCGAAAAGTGAATATTAAGGGCTGAAGCTCATCGGTTAAAGTGGAACTGGGCTGGACACATGGCGAGGTTGAAGGATGGAAGATGGTCCAAAGCGTGTACCGAGTGATTCCCAAGAGAGAACAAGAGGAAAAGAAACCGGTCGCATCTGAGGTGGAGGGATGAAATGATACATGTAGGCCAAAACTGGTGGCTTGTGGCTAGGGATAGATACAGATGGAAACAAGTTATAAACAACATTTAGTTGCTGTGTTTTGTTTTATTGTATTCTGTTTGTCATTTTATCAACCGAGTGCTTCCAAGACTATTCTGTTTACTGTATGGCTTTGTTTTTCTTAGGCCTTACATGGTTATTTTATTAAAAAAGATCATATCTGTTTTGTTTTATTTTAAACATTAAAAAAAAAAAAATGTTTGTAATAATTTAAACTTATGTTCTACTGTAGCCGACTCCTTTATAATCTCTCCTTAAAGAGAGGCTTTTGTCAATAAAGCTTATTATTATTATTAGTTCATAACTTAAATTAAATATTTACAAAATAATTGGTAAAATACAGGTAATAAAGAGAAGTAAAAAATATATACATAAATAAATATAAAATAAACAGAAAGATAAAATTAAATAAATGAGTAGTATCTGGGGTTTCTCATAGAATTTCAAGACTTAAACTCTTACATACATTTCATGATCAGATGGATTGAGAATGGAATAGGTGCTTAGAGAGAAGACTGACTTTGAATGCTGAATATCAGGAGGGATAGAATTCCAGAGGGAGGGAGCTTGAATTACAAAGAATTTCTTAAACGCAACAGTTCGGTGAGGAGGAGGATAGAAGTGGGATGTACGGGATTGAATGGATGATTTGAATTGTAGGCTTTGCAGAATATAAGAGCTTCACTGAGATCTAATAACCTAACTGTTATCAATTGCTGAGAACTAATAAAAGAAAGGTAGCAATGAAACACTGATGGAGAGATTACACGCTCCAATGCAGAGGAGACTACATCAACCACACGATGACACTGTTGGATAGTGGAATGCGATGTGCGGAATCCAAATTGGTGATCAGGGATAATGTGATCAGAGTCTAGGATGGGGTACAGGCATTTTAGGATGAGTTTTTCCAGGATTTTGCCCATGACAGGTAATAGAGAAATAGGACGGTAAGAGGATAGGTGTTAGGGTGGTTTTTTTTAGGTTTGTGTAACATCTTGACAATAGATAGTTTCCAACGATCAGGAAAATATGTGGATCGAAGCACAGCATTATATATGCAGGTGAGAAATAGGATGGCTTTCCAAGGAAGCAGTTTTACGATCTGGGAAGTGATGAGGTCGTTTCCAGGAGCTTTGTGGGAAGATATTCTGTTGATGGTATTGGGTATTTCCGAAGGATAAAATGTTTTAGGTGGAAGAGTCATTTGGAGTGGAATATCCAGTTCTGCTTCAATACATTCAATTTGATTTTGATTAATGATATCAGGATATAGATTGAAGGTTCGGAAGAGGTGTTGACCAAATAGTTGACATTTTTCTTCATCGGATTTGGACCAGGTTTGGGATTCAGTTAATAGTGGATGATTAAAGTCTTTAAACTTTAGAAGTTTCTTTGTGGTCATCCAAAGAGATTTCTAAATCTTTAAAATAAAGTTTTAACATATTTATACAAAGCTTTATTATATTTTTTACAATATGTACAATATAAATGTGCACTCTGAAAATCATTCATAAAATAAATTATAAAAATATACTTTTAAAATTTAAAACTAATATACATTTTAAATAAGAGAAACTTCAGTGGAAAAAAAATTGAACAGAAAAATATTAGTAATTTCACAATAAAAGTAATAAATATAAGTTTGCTCATAATGATGGCACATTCATACTTTTCTTCGTAAGTAGTAGTTTAATAATAATAATAATTTACAAATATCATTACTTACATAAAATATATAAAAACGTTTTTAGTTGTCAAACAGATAAGGCATGACTTAGTCAAAATATCACAATTTTATAGCAATCATATTAACAGACACTGTATTTGTAATTATTTGTAGAACAGCAACTCTTCTGTGTTGGAGTACATTGCTACGGTATTAACCAACGACAACTAGCTGACCACTTTGTCCTTTTACGATATCGGGACCGTTTGTGCCTAGAGTTATGTCAATTCGACGCTCCTTCCCGTTAGTAATACAATGCATTATCCTAAATATGAAAAATCATAATTAATATATACATTTTGACTATTATATAAACCTATTAATGAATAAAAGTATACATACTTTCCATCTTTTATGTTATTCATATGAACAATGTTCAGATTTTTTGTAACATCTACAAAAATTGTTATAAACTCAATGAGGTGAGGAACTTCGAGAATTAGGTCTCCCTAGAAAGTAAGAAAATATAATATTATCTGTTTGAATCACATGAAACTTAATTCGAAGTAATGACCCTATTAAAAGGTTGATGAAGCAATAAAAATTCAATAATTCTACCACACCAAGAACACCATGTCCATTTTTTATTAAATAATTTAGCAACAAAAAAACAAATTTTAATAGCCTAAAGTTATGGAACATTGGCTCCCTGAACAAATACAAAAAATGGACATGATGTTGTTTACCTCCGGGGGAACAGAATTGGTTAATCAGTTAGATCAACAAAACATCACAATTTATCCATTTATATAATATAGACCATAGGGGGGGGGGGAGGAGAGGGAAGAGTTTTTATCATTAGAGGCCACAGTAATGTTAGACAATGCTAATGGAGTTTGCAACAATTTCTTTTATATTTTACTGTTGCTATTATTATTTACCATTAAATACACATGCCCATATTCCTATATTCAACGTAATTCTATTAATTTTCAAAATTTTCCTAAACTAAATGATTTAAAAAAATCCTGCACTACTACAACCCATGAAGACCCACAATTGGGTCTTGGGTTCAGTACTATTTAGGAAAAGTACTGTTTCTTGATCAACTGTTAAGCATGGAGGTGATTTGACCGAGATCATGCTCAACCGTCAGGTTTTACACCTTAACTAATTAGTTAATTATGGGTACCCACTTTATGGTGTGCCCTAGGAGTCTCTTGACCCCAGAGATGTCCATGGCCAATGAAACAGATTCTTTTTTTTTTTTTTTTATGTATTTAACTTGTTTATTATTAGAGTGCTATCAGTGGGTAGTTTCTCAACAAGCGTGTTTCATGTGATAATATTTCTCTGTACACATTTACTTGATGTATTCATACTAATACAGTTGTAAACATCATAATAAAAGTTTAAAAAAAAAAAAAAAAACTTGTTTATTGAAAAATATTACAATCTATCTCAAGGAACATACAATCTGTCTCAAAGGACATTTTTATGAATTAAGTTAGGAAGAGAGAGGAGGAATAGGAGAAATGTTTAAGGGGAGAGAAGGGATAGAAACAGAAATTTAATATTAATGAATGAAAGAAATTGTCAAAAAAGAAGAAAAAAAAAATAATACATATACAAAAATGTTGTGTACCATGCTTATACATAATGATGATACTGCATATTTGTATATTATTTTTAAAAATTGTCCATAATGATTGATAAGTATGCTGTGTCTGTAGCAACCCAATAAAAATTGGGCAGCACCCTGCTATGAAAATAAAGTGATTCTCTCTTCTCAATAATTAAAATTAAAGATTTAATGTAAAATGAAAACATTTGAAGTGCACTAGAAGATGGGAAAATTAGCCTGAAACGTTTTCTGATGTATTTAAAAAAAAATTTTTAATAAAAGTTTTATTTAAAAGAAATTATTTTTTCTTGAAATCATTACACAACAATGCATTATTAAAACTATACTACATAACATTTAAACAAATAAAAGCAATAAAACAAATTGCATACCTTTTCTTTGTTGAGTTCAGGTGAAACCCTCACTAGAAGGAACTTATCCCTTTCAGATGTTATTTCTAATTTATTTATGCGGTCGATTGGAAATTTGTGTTTAGTCTTCATTTGCTTCTCGCCTGCTGTTGTCAGATATAGGAAACCTTCAGTCAGTAAGAGTACGCGATCCCTTTTCTTGTAACCATGTCTATCAAATTTTGTGACATATGTCGCGTACTATAAAACCAAAATTAAAAATGAGACTTGTTACATTTTTGAGAGGTTCGAGAGATATTTCATACAATAAATGGCTCGTGTACAAACCTTACAATTCTGCCCACTCGCTTCATTTATAAAGAATTGTTTTTTTAATGTATTGCCGCTTTCTGTCAAACGATTTTCAACAAAAAGTTCTGGAACGCTCAAACTATAACTCTTCTTTTTATCTGTGAAACAATCATCATTAAATCAATATTTAAAGGAAAAAATAATTTAAAATAACTTTGATATTCTTGATAGATAGCACAAAAATGTCTGTCCACGTAAGGACATATATTAAATTAATCATATGGTTTCAAAACTAATTACAGCCATTTCAGAAACATTTCAAGAGTGATCGAAAATCTTTTTTTTTTTAAGTCAATTAACAAAGAAAATATAATTTTTATATTTTTCACCTAAAAAATTATTTTATAAATAAGTTACTCTCAACATTTTGTTATCCTGAACTTATTTTTAATCATAAAAATATAGCAGGTGTAGATTAGTTTGATTAGACATTTTTGGCTAGTCTATGGTTAAAATAAAAAAAAAAAAAGATCTCTAAAATAAATTACATTTCTACATATAAGGCGATTAGAAACTAAGTGATCCAAGTAAAAAAATGTTATTAAGAGTATTAAGGCATCGTATTATTATTATATTATTAAGGAAAGAGGTCTTAGCAACCAGATTTAAAAGATTTGTTCATCATTTAACGACGTTTTGAGCTAATTTGCTCATTCTCAAGTCATCAAAAATTATTTATATATAATAATCTCATTAAATATTCATTTTCATTGAACTATTTTCATTTAATTTCATTCCATTTTTTATTTCATTTCATTCCATTTTCATTTTCATTGTGTCAATTTTAAACAATAGAGGAAGGAAGTAGTATCGATTTTCGGGAATGGACAAGCATTAGAATAAATACGCTTGAAATGAGAAAAGGAATTGTATTATTTTTGTGTTTGGTGTACTGAAAATGAATATTTAATGAGATTATAATATATAAATAATTTTTGGTTTGAATTTTTGATGACTTGAGAATGAGCAAATTAGCTCAAAATATCATTTAATTTGAATAAATCTTTGAACTATAAGGGCTTGTATATTCCTTGAAGACCTCATATATAAAAAAATTAATATTAATATGTCTGTATATGTTATTAATGTGCACATTTTTAAATATTATATTTGTGAAATCACTTTCATTGTGCACACAGTATCTGCACTATATATATTTTTCTTTTTTTAAGCCAATATTTCTAATAAATTTTGTAAATAAAGAGCTTCTATTGCTAATAGTTGACAACATTCTCCACTTACTACTCCAGACTCAAAATGTACCATAGAGATTACAAAAAGTTATATTTCTGATTTAAAAATGTATTACTCAAGAATTATTATTATTATTAATAGTAAAAATTTTGTTCAAGAATAATGATCATAATATGATTTTTATGACTTATGATCAAAAATAAAAATAGCTCTTAATAAACATCGTCAATTGATTTTTTAAAAATTGGTTAGATTTTATTTTAATTTTTTTAATTATCGATTTAAAACCCTGGTTTTATATATATGGATCTCTTTGACATGAAAGACATTTATGTATGAGAGGTGGTTCTTTTCGTGATTTGAAGACTAGGAATTTTTCGAAAAGCAGATGTGATACTAGTTTATATCCTGGCATTAAAAATATAGAACAAAATATTAAATAATTGAAAAAATGGAATGTAACTGTTTTTTTAAACTCCATAACTACACGTAATAATAAAATATATTTAAAAAACTACCTTTAAACAAGCATTCAGCGAGCACTTTAAGTTCCATCTGAGCTTTTCTTTCTGGAGTAATGGACTTACAGTACCTTCCTGCAAGCCATTGATAATACATGCATCTCAAAATTTCTGAAGCCTAAAATGAAATTGATTAATCAATATTAAAAAATGAATGATTAATTTAAAAAAAAAAAATCGATCTATCGAAAACTTACTTCAGCACAGACTTCAGGAGGACTAGGCCACGACCTATCCAGAACAGTTTTTGGCAATGACTGGGACAAACGCAGAAGATAATGCTTTTTGGCTGTTTGAATAAATCTTAGATTTAATTCCGTAGCTACATCATGCCTTGTAATGAATCCTTCAATAAATCTATAAATAAGAAAGCATTAAAGTTTTGTACAAATATTCAAAAGGGGGGGGGGAAAAAAAAGGTTTTGGATGCATCTACTACACACAAGTTATTTGGAATGTAAATTTGAATGAATAAAATTTATTTCAACAGCTGTGAAAGGTGACTTCATCAAGTGACATTCAAACTTGTTCAACGTTACTCACTTGCTGTACTTTCAAGTTTTGTGTTTCTTTATCTTGTTCAAATGTAATTTTTTTTCGCCGATTTCTGATTGCATATTTTCTGTGATAAATAATATCTATCTATATATCTTTATAACTTGTGGAAGATTGTAATTCAATTCTAAGCAGCCTAGCTCTTCTTGATAATATAAGTAATGAATGGGTATCAGAACAATCTGGGCTCTTAGGCAACAATAAAGCTGAACTATCAAGGAATCTCCAATTCAACCTCCACATTCTCCAAGAAAAGGTAATGAAAATAAATAAGGTAATCAATTTAGAGAAAACTAAATTAATGAAGACAGGAAGGAAAAACAACTGTCCAAGGTGTTAAGGCTTAATGTAGTCAAATACAACAGGTGAGCAACTGCAAGAATCTTGGGTCCCATCTGAATGAGCATGGATGAGAGGATGGTGGGATCAGGAAGATGCTTCAATTCCATGGAAAAGATGGAAATTTCAAAACATACCAATAAGGTAGTCTATAAAAACACATTCCTTATGATACTGACATATGCAAGCAAATTTTGGACCGTCAGGACTAATAAGAGTCAAATAATAACATAAAAGTCAAATCGAAGCAATGGAAATGAGATACCTCAATAGGATTGAGGGAAAGACAAGACGGAACAATGTGAGGTACACTACGATTAGAGCGAGCCTTAATATGAGACCAATTGATAAAGTATTGGAAGAATATTGCTTGAGGTGGTTCGGACATGTATCGAATTCCAGAAATTGTATTTCCAGGATTAACTATGAAGCTGTACCAGAAACAGGAGATTTGACTATCTCTGGACTGGAAGAAGAGTAGGAAACAGCTGGTATAGGTATAGGACTGGGATTTATGGATCAACCTCTATCGAAAAGCACCTCACACTTTGCTGTGGTAGAAGAGAGAACTAGCCAGGAAAGGTTCTGAAAGTATTCCCATCACCCCTGAACTAGTTTACGGTATATACTACAGCTATGCCTAAAAGAAAGTTGGAGAAACTGATGATGCTACAGCTAAATAATGCTTGTACGACAGGAAATAGCTCCACTATAATCAGTTCATTGCTAGTAACTATTCTAGAAGAAACAATCTATTCAAGTCACTGCAAACTAAACTGTCATAGGTTTAAACTTAGGCTGACAGAGTGACCTTTCATATAGATTCTGTCGCAGCGAGGATGAGACCTGTCGATGTGAGATTTGCCAAACTTAAGTTTGAGTTGTTTGAAGTGGATTGTTTGGATTGGGAGCTTGTCAGTCCAATAAGTGCACAATAGACCTAATAAAGTAGTGGCACATAACATAGGCACAGACTCCCTCAATAAAAATAGATAGAGAGCAAGAATATTCGAATAAGGGAGTGTTTTGCTCTCTCCTTCCAATATTTTGAAGAACAAAAATAAAATAAAAATTAATAACAATTAATCTACATGAATGAATAAAATATGCAAACTAAAATCAAGGATTTTATGATTTATTTATGTACACTCTTCCATTTTTACTTGAAGATTTTATCACATTTTCTGTGGTAAATTTGAAGAATCGGAGTATTGAGAGTTTATCTCACAACCTCAAACCTTTAAATGAAATATATATGTATTCAATTGCTTTGTTAAAATATTTTCAAATATATCCGTATGTAAAAAAAAATAATAAATCACATAAAATTATATAAAATTATTTATTTAATAATTGTGTTGATTATGTTAATTATTAATTGTAATTTTTATACATAACAAAAACTCCCGAGACTGTTTCTTGGGATCCATCACCTCACCAACAAGATTGGAAAGTCTGCACCAATGGTGCATAATGATAGTTAAAGAAAAAGAAGCTTATAATTCTTCCTTATTGAAACTTTTGGTTTTCACAATAAATTTCAAAAGGATCCATTTGATGGGTGGAGGGGATATTGCAAAGCTGTATTACATCTAAGCCCAGTAGAGTAAATTTTAGTGATGCATTTTGGTCAATTTACTACCTAGTGCAGGATGTTCTACTGAATGAACCTAACAATAATTTGTATGTTTTATTAACATCTTGACTGACCTCAATGTATTGACTAACTAATTCTTTATAAATATTTGATAATACTATTTAACCAATAAACTATTATCTTACCCTCGAATCACTTTGACAGCCTGCCTCCTTTTTTGGGCAAGCTTCTGTGCTAAAAATCTTCTAGTCCACTTCTCTATAACAATAGCTGCGGCTCGTAATGCTTTGTATTTCCTCCATTGCACCATACCCCTCCAGCGGCTTTGTATCAATGTAGCCAAAGATTGTTTACGTTCTTGAAACTTATCTTCCAAATAGAACAGGGTTTTAGCAAATCTTATGAAAATTTTTGTTCTGAAAAAATAATTAATAATTAGGTATTGTAAAAGTTAGAAAATAATTAGTGTGCAGTATTCACTTATTGTTATGAATGTTGATACAAGAGTAGCTATTGTATCAACTAAGAAATAGATATATTCCAACAAATAATTATTCTTAAGATCTTGGACAAGTCTCTGTTAGTGTAACAGTCATATAATTTTAAAACAGTTGAATCTGTTACTTTATTAATTTTAAGACAGAAATTTTGTGAACTAGATGAAATAAATCAGGTTAGTGTGTACATTTATTTTTAGAGTAACAATAATAACTTGATAATCTAAAGAATTGACATTTTTATATTATCAAATTTAATATTATAATAGTTTTATATTTTGAAAGTAAAAAAAAATAGCAATGCTACAACAATAGCATTGAATTGAGAAGGTTAGAAAACATTCAAAGAAAATTCCATAATATTCAAGAACTCTGTTCATATTTTTACAATAAATAATAAAGAATACTCAAAAGTTGGTTGTTGTATAATGAGATACAGATGGCCTTGTAGATGGCTGTTGTATAGGTGGTTTGGTGTATTATTCATAAAAAAACTTAAAATAGTGGAAACTATTTATATTATACTGTATTCATAATTATGAGAATTGTTGTATACAGTATTTCCTTATCACCATTTATTAATTACAAATTCTCAATTTAATTTATTATAGTTGCTTTGTTTTATATTTTAATTTCCTTAATAATCTTTATTTACTCTGTTATTTTTTTAATTTATTTAACTTAATATCTTGTAATTCTTATAGTATTTTATAGTTTTGTATCTTTTTCTTTCAAGCCCTGATGAAGACCATTCGAAACTTAGGCTTAATTAGTAATCTCCTCTATTTTAAGTTGTTTTATGATTGCCACTTCGAACCATCTCATTCCTTATAAATAATTAAAAATACTTACTGTTTACTTATAAAAAAAAAAAATGAAATTTGTCAGCACTACTTTTAAGCAATAATATCATTATAAAACAAATTATTAAAACTCACTTTCCTAGCCTGTATTCCTCTGGCGTGCATGACTGATGTAGAAGTATTTTCTCAACACCATCTCTCGGATGCCCATTATAAAATGGCCACGTCTCAGGCGAGAGACTTTTATAACGATAGAGGAATTCGTCATAATTACGTCTGTAAGCGAAACCTGCTCTACGTACTCTGAGATTTTCCATTAGACCAAGATACTTCACTTGATGCCTTACTACATCTCGAGAAAATAATCCTTTAAATAAAATATTTTAAAATTAATTAGAGAACTTCTGTTTTTCATCAAATCATAAAAAAAGACATTGAATCATAAGAAAAAAAAATAGTGATATATTAAATTGATCACATTTAGCAGGAGAGAAGCAATCCTTATTGTACATATTTTGAGTAAATTCAAGTCAAAGTTAAATGGTGTCAGAAAATCTTACATAAAAGTTGTGTTAATTTTGCTAAAAAGGTTTATCTAAAATTATTCTCATTTTTAGTAGCAACTCACTTGGATGAAACAACAGGATCAAGATTCATTTAACATAAATTATTACTGTGATCTATGTCCAATTAATGTTTATTTCTCAATTTGGCGTAAACTTTTTAGATAACTTACAAAAATAATCATACCTGCTTTTTTAATGTGATTTGGCTTAATACATCTAATGTAACTGGGTTCTTTGGTCATCAAAATATTCATTAAGCCATTCAAACTAAATTTAAACTGTGTAATAGCCGTTTCTGGGCGTTTCTTACTTTGTAATTCAGATTCTGGAAATACAGCCTAAAAATAAAAAAGGAAAATTTAAAAATTAAATTTATTTGGAATTCTTGAGATTAAAAAACACTTCTCTACTTGAAAGATTATTTCCGTTTAGCCCTCAGACCATGCTCAAGTGATTTTAAAACCTAATAGGTCATGTTAAATTTTACATTTAATTTAAAATTTAAGATGGCTTATTAGGAACAACTCCTCTTAAAACCACTAAATCATCTCTAGAATAAATTATGTTCCTTCACCTTAAACATGAATATAATATAAATTAAATTTATTTCTGCTTGTAAAAAACTAAAATAAATTATATCTTATACCTGGGTGATTGAATTGCAAGTATTACACATTACTTTTCGCAGATCACGGAAAAGAGGATCGTTGTTTTTGTCTAGAAAACCATTTACATCATAAATCACATCTCCAGCATAATGTACAAGTGCAAAGTCCTGAAATGAAATCACAAGTTATAATTAATCCATAATATTGAAGGATTAATAAGGATAAATTTATTTTTAAGTAAAATTTTACATTTCTTCCTAAAATCTTTTTCATTTTGCTCTCTGCTTTTGTGTGGTTGATGAAGTGGTGATGACCTGATAAATTATCAGATAATTTGTTCAAGAAAGTCTGGTCTGATGTATCTCCGGGTCGTAAACATTCTTCGTCTAATAATGAAATTATTCCTGAAAAACAAAAATTCAAATATTAATATCTTGTTCTATAATAACATTTTCTATTCTGCTCTATTATCTATGAAAGTGAAAACAAAATTATAGTTATAAAACTTTTAGTTTTGGATAAGATAAACTTCTAATTGAGATTATTTATTTATTAGAATTAATCTACAGGTATATCCTACTACTTCTAACCAAATTGAGGTCAAGATTCATTCTATAAGTCCGCCACAAAATAAATTTCAAACTGCCCAGACTGGATTCAAACTGACACCATCAGACTCAAGGGTGTTCAGATTATGAGGTCTGAAGATTGACATAGGGATGGTATGGTAATAACCGGGAGGTTTAACTAAAAACAGTTCATTATGATTTCGGTTGACCATTGTTTTTCGGTTATTGTACTACCATTACAACTGGTTATTTTTTTTAATCGTCTAATAACTGGACTTGAAAAAGAAAATACTATAAAGCTAAAATATACAGCTAGTAGTATAAAAATAAACTACTTTTATTATTATTAATAATTCTGATTTATAGATATAGAAATCTAAGTTCATATAATTTTTTTTAAAATTAACTATCAATTTATATGAGCCTTTCAGTTGACAGAATGAGTCCAATTTCAACATTTTTGAGTCAAGTCATTTTAATGATATTATTAATTGGAAAATTTATGATATCTGTACTGATATTGAGTAATTTGATTCCAGAATAGGTGATTGCAATTTTGAAATATAGAACTGAGAATAAAGGTACAAATTTTCCCACTGAAAATATCACTATAATTAATAATCAAAAGTGTTGAAATTGGAGTTAGTCCTTCAGTCAACTGAAAGGCTCATATGACTTTTAAATTTGAAGTAATTAAAATTTCATATTTAGTAATAAATTAAATAAAAAGAAAAATCTGAATGTATTTCTTTACCTTTATGCTTTTCTTCTATTAGGTTTATTATGATGTTGTTATTAAAATATTCAACAGGTTCCCACTCAATTCCTTCTCGGAGATATTCTTCTTGTTCTGATTTCAAAGTAAGTTCGATAAACAGTTGTTGAAGTTTTTCATTACAGTAGTTTATGCAAAATTGTTCAAAACTAAAACAGTAGGCATAAATTAAGGTAGGTAAAAGTTTGATCAAAATAAAAACAAAGTTAAATTGATACTTTAAAGTGTTTAATAAATTTGTTTGCTATCATTTGATGAAATATACTCTAATGATTGTGGAAAGTTGATAAATTATTCATGATATATATATATATATATATATATATATATATATATATATATATATATATATATATATCATGAATAATTAATTTAAAATAAATAAATTAAGATCAAATAATAAGGAATTTTGATAAATTACCTGTTTGTCTCAAAAATTTCGAATCCATAAATATCAAGTATTCCCATAACTTTGGTGCTTAATTTCTCTTTGGTCTGTAACGATTCGTTAAAACGTGATACCAACCACGTAAATAATCTGTCGTAGATAGCTTTAGCAAGAGCATCTCTAGCATAAGTGGCCATTTCTAAGTTGAGAGGTGATATAAGGGCTTCGTCCCTCGCGTGAATAGTTCTCTGGGTTAACGCAAGCTTTAGCTCCTCCTCTCCACATCCTAGTAACTATAAGCAAATACTTTAGTTATAAATTTATGGAAAAACTTTAAAGTGATGGGATGGGAAAAAAAAACTCGTGAATCTAAATTTCAACTCTTTAAGTTCATTGTAAAGGCGTGTAAAACTTTAAAAACTGAGAAAAAATATCCCTTGTAGGTATATAACAATTTTTAAGCCAAAAAACTGATTTTTAAGTTTGTTGACTCAAATCTTTCAACAGTATGGGTGTTTATTCTATTGTTTAATTTTTATTTAGAATCTGCTATAAGCAATTATAGATCTCTTTTCCATCTCTCAGCAGCAATGAATTTTGACAAATGAGGTGTCAAAATAAACTTAATTTCATGAAGAAGTGACAAATCCCAATTTATTAAGAGGTGTATTTGACATATATTAAAAATGTTGATACTTCATCTAATGCTCTATATCTTTTATTCTATGAGTTTTTTTTTCTATTTTGGAGAGCTATTAATAGTAATATGTCTCAGTTTTAGACAAAGTTGGTTAAAATCAAAGTTTTTGGATTTTTAACTATACCACCCAACCAAATTATTTTATTTAGGTATTCTTTCGGCACACAATTTAAGGTCGTTTAACTTTTCTAAACAGTTAGATTTTCAGTTGGATACACCGTTTAGGAGTTTTAGGTAAAAAAAAAAAAAAAAAAATCTGACTTTTTATACTGTCAAAAGTTATCAAAGTTGTTAGGTGGCCTAGACATTTTCATTTTTTATATTTTGGAAGCCATTTGTATAAATATATATTATATATATATATATATTATAAATATATAAATAAATATATATATATACACATTTTCACAACTTTATTCCTGTTTTGATCCATTATTGAAAGCAGCAGCTCTAGACTGGCGAACAAGGTTCATTTTACTTACATTCATGATGATAGAAATTGCATCACACAGTAAAAATTTTACTAAATTTCATTTTATTTACCAGATTGCTATCTGCAAGATCTCCAAAGATTCCTTTGCCAATTTTGAAATGAACAAACAAACAAAACTTCTAAAAACAATCGCACCATTAAGCAGTCTTTAACCATTAAACAAATTGTTCGTTTCTTATTTTCTTTTCCCAGTTTTTTTCTTTCGCTCCATGGTGCCTTTTTTTTTTCTCAAAACTATGATAACTGTTGATTGATGGTATCCTATTCTTGTTACCATTTCCTGTGAAAATTCCTTTACTTCATGTAACGTCAGAATTTTAACATTTTTTAGCGAGGACAGTTTTTGATACTCATCATAATTACAACTTTTATCCAGACATTAGTCAAAACTGAACTAAGAAACTTTTTTAAAGTTTCCTTGTAATCTTCATAAGTAAAGATAAACAAAAACATTCAATGGAATCCTCGTTATCAACATAAGAATCAAAAGAAATAGGTGATGTAATTTCTACGACTTTCGAATAATATAAAACTATCTAATTCACACTCAAACCTTATTATTTTTTTAAACAATTATACAAAATGTGATGTGTCTGAAAGCATGGTACACAGCTAGTCACTGATATTAATATTAAACAAATATAAAAGACAGTTGAAAAAAATAAAAATCTTACACTCGCAGCATGTCGTAAGTGATCTTGGCTTATAATCTGAGCAATACCATCTTTCTCCTTCACTTTAATATTACCGAGATGAAGAATACTCGCGACAATTGCCATTATCTCTCCTTGTTCCCTAGCGGTTATGCCCATAACATGCATTGCTTGACAAACTTCTCCCATTTGATGGGCATCGTTCATTCCTCCCACAATTTTACTATCCTAAAAATAAAAACAAAATTAAGAAATATATAAATACAATTATTTTAAAATTTCTACAGAAGTATACTTTTCAGGCCATTAAGAGCGATGAATTAAGACCAGTTAGATGTCAATAAAAAAGGTTAGAATGCTAATTTTCATTATTAAATTTACACAAAAACTTCAATAAAAGTCAACTATATTGAATAATTGAAGAGAAGTTGGTTGGGGTGGTCAATAATAAAAACATTTAATTATTGCCTCTTAGATGCCAAGAGAAGTTATCACATATTGTTTAGGTTTTTAAAAATTAAAATATCACTATTTATTACAATCTATAACATACTTTTTTTCTTCTTCTTCTTTTTTTCTTTAATTTAGTCCGGACCTTTAAAAAAACCAAAGCATATTTTCTTTTTCAAGCCAAAAAAATTTCCCATTAAATCAGTCTGGTGACACTTCGTTTCAGAGAAAGGAGGAAATGGAGGTGCATTCCTGAGACCAATAATGTGTTCATTCAGCTCTATTGGAGAAACCAGAGTGGGTCTTTGTGTATGAAACTAAATCTCTATACAACATGAAGTCTGTACTTCTGAATGGCACAGAAATTTGGAAGGTCACAGGGGGTATCAACAGGAAGGATGCTAAAAGTATTTACCAATCGCTCACTGTCTCTACCTTAACCACATCGGATGGTCCGAAAAATGCTTCAAATCAAGAGCTTTGGTGCAGAGCCGCGCAGAAACTGACTGAGCAAGACATATGAAGAAGGAAGTCGAACTGCATTGGCCATACACTCAAAAAACAGCCTGGAATAATGGAAAGGAAGGAGCAGGAAGGGAAATCTTGGAGTGAGATGAAAATGCTGTTTGTGGAGATTTTAGTGACTAAGATGGATGGAAGTTGTTCGTTGAGGTCCTTTGATTCTCTGGGAGCTATAGGAGTTAGGAATACTAAAAATCAATTGAAAAGATAAATAAAGGAGACTAGTTTTAAGATCCCTCGGACACCTCGGATTATATAGAAATAAACTTTTTGTTTTGTTTTTAAATAAAAACAAGTAAGTTTTGTGAACTGATTTAATAAAATATTAATATGCTAAATTATAATAAAATTTCATGACAATATGTTAAAATAACTATATACCTTATTCTTTAGGTAAGCGTAATTATTGATGTCTCTGGTCAAAGTCAAGGTTTCAAGAAGCTCGTCCGTCCCTCCTGCGAGCAGTTGATAGAAAATATGAAAATTCCTTTCCCCACCGTGTTGATGTACCACTCTTGATTTTTCCAATAAATAGTTCAATATATTTCCACCAACTGGTGCACCCTAAATAAATAATTACAGATGTATTAATGTTATTGGTATTTATATGAACTTTTGTAGAAATAAATTTTTAATGCATACCATAGTATTGAATTCAATATCCATGTACTTTCCGAACCTGCTTGAATTATCGTTTCTAATGGTTTTAGCGTTTCCGAAAGCTTCTAGGACAGGATTCAACATGAGGAGTTTATCTTTTACATTTTTAGCATCGGTGTTCAGATTAGAAACGGCTGCAACATATTCTAAGACCTTTTTGCTGGTTTCTGTCTTACCAGAACCAGATTCACCTAAAAATAATTTTTTAAAATCAATTTCACAAATTGATTATCCCAATAAATCACATTTAATTTTTTTTATTTTAATAATTACAATGAACATAAAATATTCATCAATAATTTAAGTGAAGAAATGAACAATGCCTTAACATTACAGATACATCTATTATTGATTAATAGACAGCATGAATGGCAAAACAGACAATAATCCAGATACTTAGATCTACAATAAAGGCTTTTAAACCAAACTGTAGACAACAGCATTGCTCATCATTTCATAATTTATTATTCAAATTATCAATACTATTATTATTAGTATATTATAATCATCAGATTTCTTTAATTTATATTGATATTTGAGAGAAGAATAGTTGAGGTGATCAGTCAAATAAGAAGGCAAAAATAAATGATAATATTTATTTTGACATTTGCCAACGTTTCAACCTGAAGTTGAGGCCTTTATCAGGGCTAAGAAAAGAACCAGATAACAAGGCATGGGAAACATAAGTAGTGTAGGTAAAAAAATTAAAGTAAAATGAAGTTGTTAGAATAATGACAATAGTAAGTACTAAGAGATAAATAATAATAACCGTTACAAAGTGTGGAATGATGAAGTAAACATTATCAAAAAAGGTGACATAAGTATTAAAATGGGAATCTTAGAGTAAAATGTAAAACAGAAAAGAATATGAATTTATATAAGAAATGAAAATAAATAGTAAAATTAAGATATTGCAAATAGAATAGTTAGGTGAAAATTGAGATATTGTAAAGTCTATTACTATTTATTTTCATTTCTTATATAACTTCATATTCTTTTCTGTTTTATATTTTATTCTAAGATTTCCATTTTAATACTTATGTCACCTTTTTTGATTATGTTTACTTCATCATTCCACACTTTGTAACGGTTATTATTATTTATCTCTTAGTTCTTACTATTGTCGTTATTCTAACAACTTCATTTTACTTTAATTTTTTTATCTACACTACTTATGTTTTTCATACCTTGTTATCTGGTTCTTTTCTTAGCCCTGATGAAGGCCTGAACTTCAGGTCGAAACATCGGCAAATGTCAAAATAAATATTATAATTTATTTTTGCCTGCTTATTTTCATAATTATCTTGTATTGTAAAATTATCTTACTTACTTTTTATAAACTGATTATGCCATATTTTATAATTGATATTAAGAATCAATCAATTTGTAGTCAGTACCCGACTCAAAATCTAAAATTTTACAGAAATTTTCTTTGACAAATAAAATACACAATAATTGAAATTGAATTGTCAAAATTTTAATTCTGCCAAACCTGAAATAAATTACTCCTATGCAACCAACACTGAAAACACACCAAAAAAAAAAAAATCCCAGAGAAATTTAAATTTTTTAAGTAACCATTGTTTTCAACTTAATTTTCCTTGTAGGATGAGGAAATGTCAAAATATTTTATTTTATAATAGATCCTCACCAGTTTTAAGAAAGAAGGTACTTAGAAAAAATAAAAATTTATTGAAAAAATTTTTTTTTCTATTGTCTGCGAATCAAATTATTACATTCATATAGATAAGATAAAAAAGACAAGCAATATCATTATTTTATCATTCAATAATAATATTTTTTTATATTTATTATAAACTTATATTATTATATTAAAATAATACAACAGAAGTTGTAATTGATTTATTTATTTTTTATTTGTCATTGAAGAATGTTTGCTTATATGATTAATTTCATTACCCTTTTCTTATCTGTTTTTTAAATATATATATTTTTTTTATAACTATGTACATACATATGTATTTATTTTAATTTCTTCTTATGTAATTGGTCTAATGAATAGAATTCATTATCATATTTTTTTTCCATTGTTATTCTTAAAGGATATTATAGTCCCAAAAGTTTATTCTTTTATTCTATTTCTAAATATAAATTTGTTTGCCAACATATTATTGGTTTTAGTTAATTTATTTTAAAAATTAATACGTATATAACTAAACTTATAAGAGTTTAACTATAGCCCCTAACTAAAACTAAAACCCTTATAAAGAGAAAGAAGGAAACAAACAGATAATTATTGAGGAACCCAAGAAGTAACTGATATTTTATTTTACGGTTCAAATAGGAATAACTACAATAGATTAGTTAATAATATTAATATTATGAACAACAAAATTAAAGTTTTTGAACACAAAAATAGGTCTTTCAGTTTAATATAAGAAATAATTAATTTATTTAATTTTTTTTAATAGCACAATCCATTATACACCCAATCCTAAATCAATTTTAACTACCTGATATCAGAATACAATGGTCTTTGTTTTCTTCAACCATATCTCTGTATGCATTTTCAGCAATGGCATATCTGAAACAAAAAACAAACATTTCATTTTTGTAACTAATTGTTTTTTTTTAATTAACAATATTAACTTTTAAAAAAAGCAATGTAATTACAAATATATACCTAAATACAATACATGAAATTATTTTTAAAAATCTATATTACAATTAATCAGTAAAGCTTATTATCTAATATACTTTAAAAACTATAAAAAATTACAATTGTTGTAGTTATAACATTAGTGATATTAAATAATTATTTATTTAAATAAGCTGATTGTAATAGCCGAGCAATCGTCGATATTAGCTAAAGATGTTAAAAATATATATACCCTAAAGATAAGTGAAATCATAAAACATGATTATAATCTGATTGTATGTTTGATAAGGCTTCAATTTTTTTTTGTGTTGTAGTCATAGATAATTCTTTAAGTGTTTGATGACTTCTTTTTTTTTTTGCTAATAGAGTTTTAATGTTTGAATATATAAATGAGATTTAATTCAAGAAATTGGTATGGGGAATGCAATCAAGAAAGAAAACATATATAAGTGCCCCAGAAAGGAATTGAATGGCGTAAGTTGGATCAACAAATTTTTGAAGTGGGCAAATTGCTGAGGGGACACATATTTACAAGGTTAAGATTTTTTGAAGGGAACCATATTTTTGTGAGATTCAATTAATGAGAACTTTTAGACCAAGAAAAAAAAGAAAAAATAAACTAAAATTTATATAATTTTACTTCCATTTGCATTTTTTTTTAAGAAGATGATAATGAATTTTCTTAGGAGAGTGAGAGATAGGCGTCATTGCACTTGGGGAGGAGAGAGATGGACACACTTAGATAAGGGTAGACTTATTTTTAATGTTTCACCTAAAGTTATATGTCTTTATCAGGGTTAGGCAAAACAGGATACAATCATGTAAGATGAAGGCAACAAAGAATAAATATAGACACATTAGGAAATGCATATGAGAATATGAAACAATTGAATATCATATATAGAGAAATATGGACTATTTTAGTTGCATGGATCTGAAAATATGTTTTCAATTTATTTTCATTTATAAATCAGAATCATTTATAAAACTCAGGTTACCAAAAAAATTATTTTTTATATATTTTTTTGTCACTTTACATCATCTTTAACGATTTCATATGTTAGATATTATTTTTTCCTAAAATTCTAAGCTTTCCAACAATATGTTATACTTAAATATTCTGAATATTATTCTGGAAATTTATTTTCAACCTTAAAAAACATTTTTCCTTTTTTTCTTCTTTTAGTCAATTATCTAATTCTTTCATAGTTTATATCAGCCATTTTTTATTGTTAATGACAATAATAGACCATTAATGATTCAAAATAACGCAAATTAAAGATACTTTAGAGGAAAAAATTTCGAACATTAAGCATTTAAGCTTTGTCAAGTGACATTAATCAAAATAAGACCTAGATGATATTGATTATTTAATTATACATTGATATACCGAGTTTAATCAAAATCGTAGGAGCCTTTTTTTATGATAATTGTGAAAAATAATAATAATAGTAAAAAGGACAGTACTTACACATGAGGAGGGTTTTCAATCATGTGAGTTTTCTGGTATTTCATCATAACATCTTTTCCATAAATTGGAAGTGGTTTGTAAGGATTGACAGAAACCAAAACATTGCCAATGTAAGTCTTAAAAAATAAAATAAAATGGTTATTATTATTTTTTAAATTATAAAAATGATAAACTATATTCAATAGAATTTAAAAGTAAATACATACATAGATGATGTCATTTGAAAATCTTTTGTAAAGATTTTCGATGAATACATCTTCATTAGTGTAGTTGTCAAGGAGGACACAGTCTTGTACCCCCACTCTGTCTCTGTCGTGAAGGCTTTTCTCCATTTCGGTTCTGAAACAAAAAAATTAATTATGTAATTTTTATTTAAAATACCTTAAATTTAGTACAATAATATTTATGAGAAATTTTTATTCATTTATTTTTTTTGTTGACACTATAGATCATGTAGATCTTTAGCTACAAGATGTGATCTCCTTATAGACATCTATTTCTTGCAGGAGCACAGATAAGACGGAGAAGGGAGGACCCTCAACCTCACGTTGCTACAGAACATGGTCTACATGGTGCAGCGGCAGGCGATCCATAGCTTCATAGCCATTCTGGCGTGTCCTTCTCACTGACTCGGGCTCAACGACAGTAACAAATTAGTCTAGATCCATGGATTATGGCTGCTTAGAGTCAGCAAGACCAATATTTCTTCCATGAAATAGACCATCCATAGACCAAATCTCAGAGGGACTGCTACTAACATCATGGAAAACCACATCCCGATTTCTGATTTAAGTACATAGGGTAGGGTCATCAGTCCTACACCGGATCGATGTGAGTTGACTCTAGAAGGCTGACGGGCCTCACATTTCCAGGGAAAGAAAGAATCTCGGTCAGTGTAGCTTTCCCTAGAGGGCGGGCACTCACCCATCCACATACACACTTAAATACTGTTACAAGCGCGTTAACCTGCTTAGCTATCCCGGCTACATTTAGGAGATATAGTTAATGAAATTATTTGTAAATATCAGATTACAAATTCATTTTGAGCATAGAATATAATATATGTAAGTAAAATGAGTAGGACACTCAAAAATTGTCTTGCTACAGTGCCAGCTCCACACGGTAAGCCAACAATCTTAGGGACACCATTGCAAGGAGAGTGCCAAAAACATGTTTTTATTGAAAAAAATTATAATTATATTGTAAAAAATTATATTATGTGTTGGCCAGGACATCTATTAACGAGAGAGTCGCATAAACAGTTGAATATAGATTCAAAATATGAAGCTGAAGCACTTGCTAATAACAACATCAATTTCTCAAGATATATTAACTGGACTTGTAATTAATACTATGTTTCTAAATAAAATTAATTTTGTCAAAACCTTGAGCAAAATGAATTTTTAAATCAATTCATGTCCGAAAACGATCGAGAAGTAAGACTGTAATATAATTTTACATTTGATCATGGCCAATAGGTCGAGAAACGATGAAATTTCGGAACATTTTATGTAAAATAAATAAATATAGTTTTCAATGTAACGTTTTTTTCCTGTGTATCATTATTATATTTTAATATATATTGTTTATATGACATACAAAATTTAATTTATGATAAAATACAATTTCATTTATAACCAAAATTCATACATATATCACGTATAAATATTTTAATACAATACATATATAACAATTTAAACGATTTTTCTTAAAAGAACAAATTATGATTGCATCAGTGAACTGAGAGCCATACATCTGGCATTTTCTTGCTACATTAAATACATACATTCACAGTTTGTGTAGTAACAAATAAATGTACATTAATTATAGCTCCTTTAGAATTTGAAAATTCAAATAATCATAAATAAATAATAACAAGTGACCTTAATGCAATTCGATTCATTTTATCTTCAAGAAAAAGATAAAAAAGTTAATAAATGAAGATAATGAATTTGATATGAGATTGTTACATCTCATTCCATTCATAATATTGTTAAATAAAACCAATCTAAAAAAAAAAAAACAGCATTCATTATATCTTTGTTGCAAACCAAACTGATAAAATTTAATGTATATATTTTAGTCTATATTGTATTATTTTATTTTTATTGGTAATAATTATTATATGAATTTTTTTTTTTTTTTTAGGTCCATCTCAAGGCTCAATCAATAAATAAACAAATAGTTTTAAAACTTCATTGTTTTCATATTTAGGGCTTACATTACAAAAAAAATATTATATTCTATATATAATAAACATTATAAAAAACATTATAAAAAACAATATTTTGAAAAAATAATTTTTAAACACTGAAATGTAGATTTCTTTTTCAAACATTCTTCTTAATAAAATATATATGACATGATGACCGAACACATGGGGGTATGGGTCTCACAGTGGCCAGTTCAGAGCATTGTGGATTCGAGTCCCACTTGGGTGTGTTAATATTTATTTCTCTACGGTCCTGGGAAATAAATCACGATATTCCCACTGTGCGACGACAATCTGAAGAAGGCTGAAGGCCCACATGTCGGATTATTATCACTCAATAATATAAACTCATGTCATTGACTTCTTTAAGGTCAAATCTACCAAAAAGTAGATAGAAATATTTTTACTTAAGCTAATTGTTTTTTTCTTGAACTGAGCTATTCCCTAAATTCTGCCATACCGGGATATTGCATCGTTTACCCCTACGTACTGCTACAACAAAGACAGAATGTTTTTTCAAAACCATTTAACTTGTATTCAAGGGTCATAGAACAGATAAATTAAATGAAGAAAATAAAAATGTCTTGAAGAAGATTATCACAGATTCTAGAAACTTTCATTTTTACACCTTCTTGAGTTTCTAATCCGTTTAAGTTGGCAGTTAAATCTGCAAGAAATATTGCCCCCAGCGGTGCTTATAAGGTTTCTATTGACATGAGCATAGAGCTAAAGATTTAAACATTTATAGTTCTTCATATTTAAGGGGTTATTATTTTTTTACATGTTGCATAAATTATTTTGATAATTTCCAAGGTTTATTCTCTATTGTACAGACTGATGTTTTGAAGTATTCTAAATTTAATATTTTTTTCCTCACCTTTACTAACTTCTACAAGGGAACAAACTTTGATAGAATAAAAACGGATTAAATTAATATTTCTAGAACCAAGTCGAAATTTTGTGTCTTATTTGAAAAAAAATTGGTCATCCTCAGCAATAAATTTGCACCAGTCAGACAACTGAAAGTGAATCCGTTTCATAATGGCTCTCATTGAAAGGGAAACAGATTTGTAAAAACTGCATTATTTAAACATAATTTTTTTCAAATCAATATGAAACTGTACCCTACCTCCTCTCCCAGATCTCCAAAACGTTTTGCAAATGTTGGGAGGGGGGGGGGAGGTGATATTTGAAATAAAATACTACGATATTTCGAAAAATAAAATCCGAGGATATTTGCTAAAGTAAAATAAAAAAATGAAGATTTCTCGTATTTTGAAGAAAAATGATGATTTTTGGAGTACCTTTGCTTTTGAACTATTGAACATAAAAACCTCTATCAGTGCTCAAATGGAAGCAGAACTATGATATGAATATGAAAATATTCACAGGCGTATCTACGGGGGATGGAGAAGTGTTCGGGCTGAAGTCCCTCATTCAAAATGGTAAAATATAACCATGTCTTATGAAAAAAAAAAAAACATTAAAAATTATCTATATAATTAATATTAGTCCGTGGTACAGACCCCTTTTTATCAAATTATTAACATCCACCTGAAACTTCGTAAATAACTTCATAACATCGTAACCTACAAATATTTTATTTACGAAAATTCTCGAAACTGTGGCGTTTTCAATCTGGAGGGAGGCAAACTTTGTCTATTTAATTAGGTACTAAAAACTCGTAAATATGCATTTGTTTTTCACCTGGATCGTAAGATAATTTGAGCATAAAATAAAGAAAAACAGTGGCCTTCAAAAATATTGAACCATTTGGCGTGACCAACACTCCCAAATTATCAAAATAACGAGGTTATATAGGACAAACGGCCCAATATTTTTATAGGCTATATTTTATATCGATTCTGTGATAAAACGATCTTACGATCCAAGTGAAAAGCAAATATGGGTATTTACGAGTTTTTATCATCTAATTAAATATTCAAATTTTGTCCCCCTTCAGATTGAAAACGCCCCAATTCCAAGAGTTTTCGTAAATAAAATAGGTAGGTAGGTTACGATGAGATAAAGCTATTTACTAAGTTTCAGAAGTTAATATTTCGATAAAAAGGGATCTGTACCACAGAGTATAATATATAAGATAATTAATAGATGGAAAGCTTAAGATTTTAGAAAAATTAATTTCTATCACATAAAGTTATTTAAAGTAATAAATAATAACGAAAAACTAAAGATTATTGTTAATATTGCAAAAATGACCCAGGTGGTTGAAGAGCCCAAAATATTTATAAATAAATAAATATTATTTCATAAAATGTTTTAATTAACAACTAAATGGAATATTTTATCTTATGAAGAAAAATATAGGATTCAGAGGACGGCAGATATTTTTTTTATTTTTAATACTTAAGTTTAGCTATTTCGATTTTAATTATTTTATCTTAATTGCGATCATATATATTATCTAGCAAAAACTTCTTTTCTTCTTCGATATAAGTCCTAAAAAGAGGTTAATTATATTTAAACTATAATGAACATGAAACTAAACAAATTCCTATCGAATTCCGCAATAAATAAAAAAAAAACGTTGTTCGTCTAATTACATTTAATAGGACTTTAAGAATCGCTTAAACACCATTTTCATATAGGTAATTTCTTTCTTTAGTAATTTTCGTTATACATACATATATATATATATATATATATATATATATATATATATATATATATATATATATATATATATATAAAACCCAAAATTAAATCCTGGATCAGTTAGTGATAAAATGAATTACAAACTAGTTTATAATGGTTGTGTTCATGGAAAATAGATGTTTCTTTAATATTTGAAAAAGTACACTATCGAGCGAAAAAACGTGGATTTTGAATTTTGTCTGATCTCTTTTTTTTTCATCAATATATTGTACAAATAACCAAAATATAAACAAAACACAAATTGCAAATAGTTAAGGATTGATGTCATTGGGAATACACAAAAATAAATTTAAATTAAGGCCTTCATCAGGGTTGCTCGTACAAAGGGTATTGAACGAAGAGCCAAATATAAAGTATCTGATAAATATATAAATGTAGTCAAAATTTCGTCATATCCAAACGATTATTTCTTTATTTTTTCCTTATATTTTTGTTTATGTTTTACGTACTT